AGGTCAACACAATTGTTTAGCTGATTATTTATCTCGTCATCCAATACAAAATGATGAAGAAATATTTGATGAAGATTATGGCATAAACATGTTATTTCAAGGGGAACCACCAGAAATGGTGTATGTTCCTGAAAACAATTCTCAAATTATTGGTGCTGTTGTTACACGTTCAAAGAGGAAACAAATAGCACAACAACAAGATCAAATTCATACAACTATACCATCAATTACAAATGATAAATCATCTTCATCAAGTCAAGAAAAAATTGAACATTCAGATGAAGTTACCTCAGATTTAATTACACCTAATAATTTTGATATAACTCAAATCAAAACTGAACAAGCAAAAGATCCAATTATTCTAAATAAAATTAAAGAAATTATGAAAGATTCAACAAAACATTCTTATGTGTTTAAAGATGGCATATTATACAAGTTGGCATTAATGCGTAGTAATTCCAATACAAAAACAAAATTAATTTATTTACCATCATCTATGATTAATTCCCTCCTTCAATTCTACCATAATGATCCACTTAGTGGTCATTTTGGCGTTCGACGTACATATTTAAAGATCAAAAATAAATTTTGGTGGCCAAAAATGAAACAATCGATTAGTAAATATATACAATCGTGTTTACCTTGCCAACAATACAATATTAATCGATCAAAGAAACCAGGACAACTTTATCCAATTCCAGTGCCAGAAGGACCGTACCAGTTAATTGGTATCGATTATTGTGGACCGTTTAAGAAAACACCAAGTGGTAATTTATATGTGTTATGCATCACGGATTATTTTACACGATGGGTGACAGCAATCGCTTTACCCGATTGCTCAGCACAAACTACGGCACAAGCATTATTCAAGGAATATATTTGCCGATATGGTGTACCAAAATCTATTTTATCAGATCAAGGTACACACTTCAAGAACCAGTTAATGGAAGCAATGGCAAAATTAATTGGTTATAATCATATTTTTTCGAGTGTTTACCATCCACAGACTAATGGAATGGTTGAACGTTTCAATGCAACATTTGTTCCCCAGATTGCAAAACTTCAAAATCGTGAAAATAACAACTGGGATGAATTTTTATCACCAGTAGTATTCGCTTACAACACTGGAATTCATGCAACAACTGGTTGTTCACCATTTCAATTACAATACGGCCGTGATCCACGTTTACCTACAGATGAACCTCCAACATCGTTCACCTTCAACAAACCACAAGATTATTATGAACAATTAAAAAAGAATCTACTGATATTACAACGACAAACATGTGATAATGTTAATAGTCGACAACAACGATACAAAAATCGCTATGATAAACAACGTGCAGATCCACATTATGAAATTAATGATTTAGTATTGATTAAAATTCATGGAACAAAAACGAAATTAGATCCAAAATATTCAATTACACCTAAAGTGATTATTAAAAAACAACATCCAAGTTATTGGGTTAAAGATGAAGCTACGCAGGTCGAATCGAGAGTGCATGTCAATGATATTCGGCCTATATTCATTTCCAAAACAATGTAAAAAATTAATGTTTATTTTTTATTAATGATCAATTAATGTTAATGTATATGTTTTGTTATGTTATAATGGTTGATGTTCGACTATGTTTGGCGTATGTGCAACGACTTTCATGGGACAACATTGATTCATTAATGTGTGTGGAAAAATTGATATTTTAATAGGCGCGCATTAATTATCAATAAGAACCATCATTTCCATACGGATTGCTTTATCAAAAATTGATTATAAGAAAAAATCAACATTATATCACATGTCAGGAAACTCCTCTTTAGGGATGTTTCTGCTCTGAGTATACCTTACGAATTTTTCTTAACTATATATTTTTTATCAAAACATGCTTTCATTAATGAGTGATATCTATACATTGATTTATGGATAGGATTATGTATATGAACCAATAAGATGTCATATGTTATTTTTTATTTTATCTATGTTCATTTTGTTTACTTAATTTCTTTTTCTAGTCATTACTATGTCAGATAAATTTATTCCACATTATTTACGTGATATTGATGATATATTAAATAATCATGAACCATATCAACAACAAACATGGACACGAACAGCAATTAAAGCAGAAGAAAATGCTGAATTAAGTCAACAATATCCACCATTCGTCGTACCAACAGCTATTTATTAAATTGTCCATGTGAACAAATATACATTAATGGAAGATCTGCACTTACTGCTCAATCATGTACAACAATGTACTCAATTTACAATTGATACAGAGTCAGAAAGATCAGATGGTCAATTAGCATTAATCCAGATACAAACTATACCATCTCAATTACCATCATTATTAATATTAATTGAATTACAACATCTTCCATCTGATAATCCACCTGCGTATGTAAAAATTAAAATTTTTTTTACATTAGTATTTAGATCTGGAAATCAATTATATTCATGGGGCGATATGGGCAAAGAATTAGAGCCAATACAAGATTATCATTTAGTTAATTGGCCAGCAACAGCATTATTGATTGACATCCAACCGTATTTTTCGGATTGGTATGAGTGGGCACTGGCTCATTGTGAGTCATGTTGCCCGAATCATAATCCTCATTACGATGAAATTAATTATGATAATGTTACTACCCAAAATTATTCGTCATCAACATGTGTTTGTCATGAACCAAGTCCATATCGTCCACGTGAAAAATGGTCTCTTCAGAAGGTCTTAATTTATGCAGCACACATGTTCATCGATAAATCAAGTACAGTTAATAATTGGGCTGCAGGTTTAACATCCAATAATTCAACATTATCATTTGGTCGAAGAAAAAAAATGATTAATTATGCCATATATGATTGTTTTTCAACAACGTATTTTATTAGACCAGTTTTAGAATATTGGACATTTAATAAATTAAAAAATACCAATATTGTTGAATTATTTACATCCTTTAAATCATTGCCACTTCCAACAATTAATTCATCAAATAAAAAAAATAAAAAACTTACAAAAAAATATTAATCTACAAAAATTATTTAATTTAAATGATGATGATTTACAACCGATATCAGATGATGATGAAATTTATCTTAATCAACTCATTGAACCAGTTACGAATGAACAACTTGGAAATGAAACAATCTCAAATGATGAACAAGATTTTACTGGTCAATTATTGGTCAATGATGCTGAATTAATTAGTGAAGAAGACAATGATAATGATGAAATTCAACCAGCTGCAGTTGTCGAAGAAAAACTACCAACAACAAAATGTAGAAGAACTCACCAACAACGCTCAAGGTCGTCACGACAACGAAGAAATAGAAAACGAAATAACACCCATCGAACACGTCGTTACCAACATTATATTACTCGTTCGATGTATTATAAATTTGCTATGACATCAATCAAGAAAGTTCTTCAACAACATCACATCAACTATGTACACGTTAAGGAGACTGATGGCATACTAATTATTGGTGTAAAGAACGCCTTGATCCAACAACAGTATCAAAATCGAATACCAGAAGATATATTTGATCGGAAACATTATCAAATTTATCAACATCATCATCAAAATCACCATCAACATAATCATCAACATCATCATCAAAATCACCATCAACATAATCATCAACATCATCATGAATAATCACAACCACAACTCAAATAGTAAAACAAAAAAGTTTTTTGTTTCTTCTCATCTTATTATTTTATATCTATTACTGTTATATTTTTTTTTCTCTTCTCTTTTTTGAACATGTTCTTCCACTCATTGATACAGCTACATTAGATTTTTCCTTTTCTTCTTTCGAAGTTTTTTGTTTTCCTTCTTTCTCTTGTTCACATCTTTATATAAAAAAGAAGGGGGCAAAAAGTATTTTGTAAACAAAAACTTTTTTTTTGTAAGGGGAAGGGTGTTAGGAACGACATCTTTCTCTATGTTTTTCTTTCATGTTACTTTGTTTGTGGTCTTTCTTCTCTTCTTCTTTCTTTATATTATATATGTGCGTGCACAACTATTGTAAAGGGGACATTGTTTTTCTTAATAAACATAGAAAGGTCAACATATTGTTGAATCGAACTCCAAGGGCGAAACAAAACTTAACAATTACCAATACCTGATCATCCAACATTGAAACAAGCTAATGAATTTATAGGTGGACTCGGATTTTATAGGAAGTTTATAAAAAACTTTTCAAAAATTGCGGCTCCTATTCATCGTGTAACTAATTTGACCAAGGACAACAAACATAAATTTAAATGGGGTGAAGAACAACGACAAGCTGTCCAACAATTGAAACAGATTATTACTGGCGCGGATTTAGTACTTGAATTTCCCGATCCAAAATTATCTTATGTTCTTTCTACTGATGCGTCAAGAGTTGGACTCGGTGCGATGTTAAAACAAATAGCTGAAGACGGACGAATAAAAATTATTTATTACTTGTCACGGGTTTTAACAAATACTGAATTAAGATATTCTACGACGAAATTAGAAGCATTGGCCATTGTCTGGGCTATAACAAAATTACTTCCATATTTACTTGGTAAAGATTTTAGAATTGAAACTGATCATTGTCCACTATGTCAATTTCATAAAAAAAGATCACGTAATGGACGTCTCGATCGATGGGCAATTGAAATATTATTCGAATACAACATTACCGAAATTAAATATAAAAAGGGGAAATGTCATTGTGATGCAGATTTACTTTCCCGTTATCCACTACAAAGTAATCAAAGTTTTTCTAATGACTTTAGTATAAGAAAACAACATGAAGGTTATTTATCCCCGTACACAGATGAATTATATGACAATGACTCAGGTATTCAACCAACAGCATCGGTTAATGTGATTACATGTTCAGCAGCTCGAGCTAATAATAACCAATAAGATAATGGGGTAAAATTAACAAGTGTTTATAATACTCGACTAAGGGTCAGACAACTACAAGAAAAAAATTCGTCTTCATCATCATTTGCCAATATGGCTTCAACGGCATCACCATCATCGAATACGAATGAGAAATCAACGGTATCGTCATCATCAAATGCTAATGCTTCAGCAGAAGTTTATTCATCATATACCGGTTTCAGTATGAGGAAGATTAAAGAAGAACAATTAAAAGATCGTGCAATTCAAGAGACAAAGAAAAATCTATCTAGTAATCAAGATTACGAAATTATTAATGATATTTTATATAAATTAGTTCCACGTGGGAAAAGAAAAATTAAACTTATATGGGTTCCAAAAACAATGATAAATCAAGTGCTCTTTCTTCATCACGACCATCATACAGCAGCACNCTTCCCTTATTAGATCCCGTTGCGACTTCACAATCAATCGTATGATTTTGTAACCGTCGTACGATGAGTCGAATTCCGTTGCATAAACCTTGCTTTACGTCGAGGTTGCGAAGAAGCATTATTATTGCACTAATTTTTAACTTAAGCTTATGAGGGGGCATTCCAGATGGTGAAAATTCTCGAATTCCTAACCTTTAACCTTTAGCCGTTGACCTTTGACCTTTAACCCGGCACAGACAGACAGACACTGAACATTATATATATAGATTTTTTATTTTTTTATTTATGTTCATTTTGTTTACCTTATTTCTTTTTCTAGTCATTTATGTCAGCTAAATTTATTTTACCTTATTTACGTGATATTGATGATACATCAACTGATTGTGAACCAGATCAACAACAAAAATGAACTCAAACAACAATTAAAGCAAAAGAAAATGTTGCTTTACGTCAAAAATTTCCACCATTGTCGTATCAACAGCTATTTATAAAATTGTCCATGTGAACAAATATACATCAATGGAAGAACTGCACTTACTGGTCAATCATGTACAACAATGTATTCAATTTACTATTGATACAGAGTCAGAAAAATCAAATGGTCAACTGGCATTAATACAAATACAAACTATACCACCTCAACTACCATTCTTAGCAAAATTAATTGAACTACAACATCTCCCATCAAATAAATTACCTACGTATATTAAAATTAAAGAATTTTTTTCATTAGTATGTAGATCTGGAAATAAATTGTACTCGTGGGATGATATGCACAAAGAATTAGAGCCAATACAAGATTATCATTTATTTAATTGGCCACCAACAGCATCACTAATTGACATACAACTGTATTTTACGGATTGGTATAAGTGGGCACCGGCTCATTGTGAGTCATGTCGCCCGAATCATCATCGTCATCATCCTGATGGTATTAATTCTGATAAAGTTACTACACGAAATTATTCATCATTAATGTGTGTTTGTCATGAACAAAGTCCATACTGTCCAAATAAAAAATGGGCTCTTCAGAAGGCCTTAATTTATGCAGCACACATATTCATCGACAAATCAAGTACGATCAATAATTAGGCTGCAGGTTTAACATCCAATAATTCAACATTATCATTTGGTCGAAGGAAAAAATGATTAATTATGCTACTTACGATTGTTTTTCAACAACATATCTTATTCGATCAGTTTTAGAAAAGTGGACATTCAACCAATTAAAAGATACACATATTGTTGAATTATTTACATCATTTAAATCATTACCACTTCCAACAATTAATTCATCAAATAAAACAATAAAAAACCTTAAAAAAATATTAACCTACAAAAACTATTTAATTTAAATGATGATGATTTACAACCGATATCAGATGATGATGAAATTTATCTTAATCAACTCATTGAACCAGTTACGAATGAACAACCTGGACATGAAAAATTCTCAAATGATGAATAAGAATTAACTGGTCAATTATTGGTCAATAATACTGGATTAATTAGGGAAGCAGACAATGATAATGATGAAACTCAACCAGCTACAGTTGTCGAAGAAAAACTACCAACAACAAAACGAAGAAGCACTCATCAACAACGATCAAAGGTATCCAGACAACGACGAAATCGAAAACGAAATAATACCCATCGAATACGTCGTTATCAACATCATATTACCCGCTTGATGTATCATAAATTTACTATGCCATCAGTCAAAAAAATTCTTCAACAACATCACATCAACTATGTACACGTCAAGGTGGTAAATGGCATACTAATTATTGGTGTAAAGAACGCCTTGATCCAACAGCAGTACCAAGATCAAATTCCAGAAGATATGTTTGATCGAAAACATTATCAAATCTATCAACATCATCGTCAACGTCGTCACCAACATCATCATCAATATCATCATCAACATCATGGCGCATAATCACAACAACAAAAAAATAGTAAAAAAACAAAAAAAAACAAAATAAAAAATTTCTGTTTATTTGTTATTATTTTTTTTATTTTTTTTCTCTCTCGTTTACTTCATCTCCATATTAACGAACTGTTAATTGGACATTTAAAAATATGGAAAAGTTAATTGGTTCAGATTTACCTAGCTTTGCTGATGAACAACATCCAGCTGTTAGCCTTCGTTTTAGAGATATGACTAAACCAATAAATGTTTAACTGGTATTGATTGTTAGCAATTATTTAATGTGTAATGTACCTGAATTTGCAATGTGTTATTATGTTGATGGTATTGTTCAATCATATGAAATAATTAAAACAGTCCAGATGATGATATAATTAAATTATATGATTTAACAAATTTATGTGAAACAGATTGTGATGACAATCCATATGCATCACCAGTTGCTGCATTACTTTATAAAATGGCATATAATATTGTATTAAATTCTGATCATGAAAAACGTTTAAAAGAATCTGGTACAATAAGTACATTACTTAAACATTGTCTAGCTATACTTGATTCAGCAACGAGTATTTTGTAAACAAAAAACTTTTCTTGTAAGGGGAAGGGTGTTAAGAACGACATCTTTCTCTATGTTTTTTCTTCCATGTTTCTTTTGGTCGTGGTCTTTCTTCTCCTTTTTCTTTCTTCAGTTTTTGATATTATATATGTGCGTGTACTAGTATTGTACGACGGACATTTTTATTTCTTAATAAACATAGAAAGGTCAACATATTGTTGAATCGAACTCTAAGTGCAAACCAAAACTTAACAATCACTAGGAAGCGGGTGTAAAACTGTATAAAACACGCTATTGAAATAAATGTTTGGTGCTAAAACGTTGATTGAGGGACTCTATCACCTACCGTAAGGACGTAGTCAACTGCCGATAATCCTTCATTTTCTTACTGAAGATGCTAGTCAAAGTTCTTTAAAATAGCATAGACTTATAGAGAATCTTTGTCTCTACAAGAGCTCAGAATTTAAATTATCATTATTGATTTCTGTTTGAGTCATTGAACTTGGAAGCTTTGGAAAGCCCATCACTGGCATGATGTCCTGTGGGTAACTATACCATGAGTTCAGCCGATGGACATTAAGTCGGAAAGCCTGACTTGTCGTGGTTAAGTCAATAAATCTTCAAAACTAGAGCACGACTGTGCATGAACATTTATGGAGAACGACTTCATTCATGGGAATTTTAACGTACTTATTTGTAAACAGCTTAGTTAACAGTGTGCTGGTCATACTCATCGGAACAATGGGGCCTGTATTCTAAGGCGACACAACAGACCGTAGTTAAAAGTATGAGGGTTTTGTAGAGAAAAAGATTCTCTATAAGTCTATGCTATTTTAAAGAACATTGACTAGCATCTTCAGTACGAAAATGAAGGATTATCGGCAGTTGACTACGACCTTACAGTAGGTGATAGAGTCCCTCAATCAACGTTTCAGCACCAAACATTTATTTCAATAGTGTGTTTTATGCAGTTTTACACCCGCTTCCTAGGGATGTATTCCAAATTCCAATATGTAAGAGTTCCGAAGAAAAAAATTAGATTTCATGACCATGTCACCCAGGAATCTCATGGTAAAACCTGGAACGACTATACTTTTCGTAGCGCTACAGAATAGACCCGGTAAAAGCTAGTCATTCGTTACGGCACAACTTGGTCTTTCCAACGATGTATTATGAAGAAATTTTCATGTTGAAATCAACGTACCATGAATCAAAAATATAGCTTGTCGAATAATTTTCGAAGATCAAAAGATGATATACTTTTAGTATATCCTCTATGAATTCCCTATAGATTGCTAGATCGCTCTCAGATTTTTTGTACCAATACTACTAGTCATAGGGTATCATAAAATAAAATTCAACTTATTTCAACTCATATAATTTCTAAAATATGAGCAATGAAAAAATTATTTACCTGCTTGTCGGATAATTTTGGTAGCCACTGTATATGTTCGCATATGACAGAACGAAAAGAAAGAATTTTCACACGAATAATGAAAATAGGGAAGTCGTTTTTCTCATGTCAGTGGTGGAAAAAATATGGTCAAAATAATTTAAATAATGAG